GAGCAGGGAACCTGATGCAGGGCTTGATCCCAGGACCCTGGGATCATGACCTGAGCCGAAGGCAGATGCTTAATGACTGAGCCACCCAGGCGCCCCTCAGTTACTTGACTTTTTTATTTCTCCAGGAGATCAAAGTGATAAATAATGAGTGAGATATTTATTGCTTTCTCTTTTTCCCTGAATGTCTTACCCCCTTTCCAAAAGCTGCATCATCCTGCCGAATTTAGGTCATGGAATTAAACAGTAAAATATATGTACATGTAAGTCACCTTATAAATATAAGTGTTTTTGGTCTAAAAGGTATTTGTTGCCCATAAGCTGTATATAGATGATTGTCTTTATTATCTTACACTAAGGGATTCTCTCTGTTTTTGAGCTTCCAACTATGGAAGAATTGAAAACCTTATTATCAGTTTAGAGGAGAATTGTGAAATTAACAACTTCCAGACAAGACTTCTGAGGAAATTTGGAGAGTTTAAGGAATTTAAGACTGAGGTGAAATCTAGAAATGGGGTTCTCATATTTGAGGTTACAAGGGGCATTAACATTTCTGCTCTGACCCTTGCTCCCTCACACAATGGCTAGAATAGAAGAGAAGTGAAGCCTCAAAGAACCATGGAATGGGGGTTCACTTCCTTATCCTGAGTCCTGGGTAGCCTCTGGTGGTCCCTCAACCTTTAACCTTTCCTCAACTGTGAAAGGAAGAAGCTCATGGCTCCATTCTAGGGCTGTTGTGAGAAGGAAATGAGATCACCCACTTAAAACGAGCAGCTTGCATTTGTGGGCGAGGCAAATGCTGTATATATTCCAAACGCTGTATATATTACCTTATTCAAAATGACGGCGTGAAAGACATGCTGTGTCCATCACTTGGCAAGTGAGAAAAGGCAGGCACAGAGCTGAACTTTGCAAGTCTGCGTTCTTAACCACTCTTTACATTGAGAGCATCGACTCGAGCACAATAAAGTCTCATTCGAAGTGAACTAGAAATACTATTATGCCTTAGCTTTCCTTTATTCCCAATCTTCTCAAGGGTGTCTTTGGAAATTCTTAAAGAAACAGAACGAGTGGTGTTAAAAATCACCTTATGCATGCAGTAAGTGTAGGAGTGCATTTGAAAGGAAGTTATATAATAATTACCAAATGTGACGCATTCAAAAGTGATTGTGAAAATAATACCTCGCAATTATGATGGAGTAATTGAGAGGTGCTGCTGAGGGAAAGATTTATTTCTTTCCTTTGCTCCTGAAAAACTAAGGATATTTATTTATCTATTTATTGGTTTGCTCATTTATTGGCAGATGGGGCGTTATTGTTCAAATTTGTGATACTTAATTTAGGAGTCGGAAGGGTGACGCCTCTCATACAATGATCACAGCCTTTAAAAGTAAATTTCCTGTTGTCAGACACCCAAATTAACTGGCATGGATATATGACAAATTGTGAAACAGTTGATTAACCCGGTTGCCAAATAAGAACTCCCTTCAGATAATAACTCAGAGTTCAACACATTTTAGCACAGACTATATGAAAGTCTTTATTTAGCAAAATCAGAGATCAAGATTGTTATCCTACATTTACTTTCTCAAAGATAATGTGATTATAATAATAACAATGTGATGAGCTTTGGTATGAACAGCTTCTGGGCCCAGTTCACTAGAAAGTGCATTTATTTTTGCCAGTAAAGGATGTGATTACATAGTAGAAAAGAAGGTGGGTTATTGATTTTTTTTTTTTTTTCTAAAGACTGCTTATGTTCTAAATGATGACCGCAAAAGTCAACTGATATTCTCAAGGCTACCCAGCAAAGGTGGGCCAGGATCCAGGACTCCTGCTTGCTAGAACTTGTTCTTCCCATAACAATAAATTACCTCCTTATTTTTTGGATTCCTCATGCTTAGTAAGTCCATAATTCTTGGAAATATGCTCCAGTAGAGACAGTTTGGGGCCAGATTGGTGCTGGAGGTGCTTTCTTCCCACATGGGGGCAGGCCTAAAGGAGGAAGGACAAGGTGGGCTCCCTCCTTCTGCGCATTATCAGTGACCTTCTCCCTGCTCCTACATGGCTGATGCACCACGCATGTTGGTTTTCATGACATCCCCCTGCTATATGAACTAATGTAATGGTAATCTTCACTTAACATGGTCCTGATTTAACATAAGCTAAGCGGCATCATTAGAAATAATGGTAACAGGGGCGCCTTGGGTGGCTCAGTCGGTTAAGCGGCTGCCTTCGGCTCAGGTCATGATCCCAGGGTCCTGGGATCGAGCCCCACATTGGGCTCCCTGCTCGGCGGGAGGCCTGCTTCTCCCTCTCCCACTCCCCCTGCTTGTGTTCCCTCTCTCGCTGTGTCTCTCTCTGTCAAATAAATAAATAAAATCTTAAAAAAAAAAAAAAAAAGAAATAATGGTAACATTTTCCTCTTCTTTCCAACAATTGTTGTATTTGCTAGAACTTTCAGAAAATGTTAAATAATACCATGAAAATGAACATTCTGATTTTATTCTTGATTTCATGGCATCATGAAATACGTTCTGCCCCTCCTCAGCCTTGCACTAATGTGGTGGAAACTATACCTCTACCCTGACAGCTACCCACAGCTACTGCCAACTGGTAGGAATGAGCAAAGGTGGAGAAAACCATTTACCATTCATACTCTAGAGTTTTGCCATGCGTGGAAAGTGCTCTCCTTTATCCCATTTACTTACGGATTTCTTCTATTTTTATATTTTTTCTTTTTCTTTCTTAAAACAGGCTTGCATATATGCAGCATTTTCAAAGTGATTACATGCTTTTTGTTTCTTTGTTTGGCTATTATAACCATGGATTACATTAATTTCAAAACATTAAATCATTCTTCAGTTTCTGGCTAAACTATTTTTTGGCCATGGTGTATATACTCTTATATTTGTTAATTTTTAATTAGGGTCTTAGTTTCTGTATTAGCAAGTGACATTTACTGTCAGTGTTGTGCAACTTATTTTAAGACCACATTTTTAGTGTCAAGGTTTTGCTACCTTACTAATATCATTTGAGGAATTTCCATCTCTTAGTATGCCCCTGATTTATATAAAATGTACCTCCTCTTTACAGGGTCTATAGTGCTGTCTCTAAAACCATCTGGGCTAAGTGATCCTTGGAATGTATTCTCAATTTTGTCCATGATTATTGATATATTCAAATTTTCATCTTTGTTTATATTTTGGTCATTTACATTTCCCTAGAAAATTATTCATTTTATCTGCATCTTCACGTTTAGTTTCAAAGAATTATAGCTAGTATTCACTTACAGTTGCTACAGTCTCTTATCTATACTCTCTATTCTAATTGTGAATGTTGCATATTTCTGTATTTTTATAATTTTTACCCATCTTAGAATTGCCTATTTCATTGGTCTTAACAAAGAAACAAATGTTGCATAAATTTATTAATTCTATGGACCTTATCATTTATTTTATTTAGATGGAGGTTTTTTAAAGAATTACTGCTCCTATTTTTCTATAAAATATTTTTCTGTTGATTTTAAGTGTTTTCCATATTTCAATAAATTTTTCTTTATTACTTTTACTCATTGTTTTATTTCTAACATTTATAACAGTTGTTCTTTATCGATGTAACAAGGCCCTCTATTTAAGCCTTTTTCTTTCATTTTCTCTCATAGTAACATAGGAACATGTTCTTTTTGTGTTGTTATTGCTTACTATCACACACTCCATTAATTTAAAACTTTTTTGTCATTTTATTTTATGTATATTGTAAATATCAGCAAAGAATGCTCTTAGCCAAAAGTCAGAAATCAGAACTAACCATAGCTTAAGCAAATAAGTGTGGTGTCTTTTGCTCTTCTATTTTGTTTTGTTTTGCCTTTTAAGACCTCTAAGGCCATAGATTCTTTTCATATGCCATCCATCTTTAGCATGTTACTTTGTTGCCTCATGTTTGCAAGATGAATACTGCAGCTCTGGACCTCACAAGAATTTCTAAGCCAAGACAAAAGGGTAAGAATGGCACCAGTTATGTTAGTTTCTTTCATCTGAAAAGTAAAAACTTTCCCAGAGCCCCACACTTCCCTGTCATTGACTAGAACTGTATGACATGACCAGCCATAGCTGCAAGGGAGGCTAGAAAGCATTTATCTGTTTTGGAGTCTCTACTAGAAGATGAAGAAGAATGAGTTCGAAATATCTGGCTAGTTAACCAACTAACTCTTGTCTGCTGTAATATGTCTATTGGAAATAAAAATTATGATTTTTTTAATGCAATCTGAAATGTGACTTTTAGGTTTATTATTATAATTGATTTTAATCCTCTCATTACGCTTCTCCCCCTTTTTATCTTTTAGTATTGTATAGAAGATAATTTCTTCCCTTTTTCTCCTCTCTTAAAATTTCTACTAGTAGTTAATGTTTGTTGAAGAAGATTCTTAACCTGTTTTCCTATGATAAGATTCAAAAATTGAATTTTATCTTCAATATCCCATTATTTAAGAGAAGTAATTATTAATTCCCAACTTTCCCTTTTGTTATACTTAATCACACTCCTATTACCTGACTTATAAGAATATTTGAGATTTAGATCAGAATGCAGTATTCTGTATTATGCAGTTCATTGGTTTTCAGCATATTCATAGAGCTGAGTGTCCATCACCACAGTCTGTTTTTGAACACGTTCATGACTCTAAAAGGAAATACACAAAAATGCATTATATTATTAGTTTTTCCTTTGTATATATTTTTTTCAGTATTTTCATTGTTTCTAGCTAGATTTTTTTTTTTATATTGCATTATTTGTTTCAGAGGGACAGGTCTCTGATTCAATAGTCTTACACAATTCACAGCACTCACCATAGCACATACCCTCCCCAGGGTCTATCACCCAGCCACCCCATCCCTCCCACCCCATCCCCCACTCCAGCAACCCTCAGTTTGTTTCCTGAGATTAAGAATTCCTCATATCAGTGAGGTCATATGATACATGTCTTTCT